TTTCACTTTACTCTATTTATGGGCCCTAACAAATGGGTCCTAACTTCTAAACTCGTACTCTTATAGTATTTTTATGACTTGAGACTTGAAGATCTTTACTTTATATGTTCATTTCAATTTTCAATCTAATTTTTAACCTTTTTCAAAATGAATTCTTGATTTATTTACAAAACTTTCAAATCGTTCCTAAAATTTTCAATTTATTGCAATTTTTGCCTTGCATTTATTGCAATTCTTCAGCCTTTTGATTCAACATTTTCCCTTCATCAAACTTTTCACTGACTTTCACTGACTTTCACTGACTTTCACTGACTTTCACTGACTTTCACTGACTTTCACTGACATCAAAAAGACAAACTCATCACTTCATCAATTTCTATTCTTCAGCCTTCAGCAGATTCAACATTTTCCCTTCATCAAACTTTTCGATGTTTGGTTGAAAAAAAAAAGAAAAAAGGTTTCCCGAAAGGCAATGTGTTTGAAGGGAAATGAAAAGCGTTTCCGCTTGACAAGTCCAATTTTGACCCGGCAATCATTTTTTCCGAAATTTCCGAAATTTTCCCCTGAAAAACATCAAATATTTGTCAAACCTTATGGAAAGGTTTTCCCATTCTCTCAACAGCACGTTTTGTTTTGAAATCTCTTTCTCTCATCACTTTGATTACACCAAAATTGTTGTTGGGTTGAAGTGGCTTAATTGTTCTGAATTTCTGAATTTCTGAGGGGAAATCTCTTCGAGCTCTAGGATTAGTTACAGAATGATTGAATTCCGATGGGAGTGCGCCAATTTCCTGTCAATTACCCTCAGCTAAAAGGATCATCGAGATAGAGGGAAGAGAATGGGGCCAAGTAATCAGTGTCCACTTTTCACCACATGGCTATAAGAAATGAAGAGCTCAATGTTGGAAGTATGGGGAAATTTCGAGAAAATCGATCAGATCAGGCCAGCAGGGAATGCTAAAAGAATACAATTAATGCCATAAAAAGCATTTCCAAACAAGGGCTGACTTTTGACTTTGCCTTTGAAAATTATCTTTGACGCAACTAGCAGGCTTAGAAGTCATCAGGCTTAGAAGTCATCAGGCTTAGAAGTCATTTGAGGCTAAAGGCTATGTAATGATAGGGAACATCCAACGTTTATTTATCCACATTAATGGAAACAAATCTTGAGTCTTAAAGCAGATGCCCAACACAGCTCTATGCTTGTCTCTATGTCTCTATGCCCAACACAGCTCTATGCTTGTCTATAGTCAGATCCTGCTATAGCCTTTTATATCATAATTTTAAAAGTAGTTCGTGATAATCTTTTCTTTCAATCAAACAGATTTTCTTTAAAGCTTTCTTCTTTTCTTGTGACGTGTTTTCATTGTGCTCGTGTTCGGGTGTTCGGGGCATAAATATGCAGCGTAAATTGACTTTCCCCCATCATTTCTTTCTTTTCCACCATTTGGGCATCCTTCTCTCGTTTTCTCGTAGTCTGCAATTTCCATATTAGCTTCGAGATCCACTCGAGTGCACATTGCCCCTTCCCCCTTTCCCAAATGGGTCCTAACTCCTAACCTCGTACTCTCATAGTATTTCTACGACTTGAGACTTGGAGATCTTTATTTTATAAAATCTAAAATGAATAATGTCTTCTTTAAATTACTTTCTCGTTTCCCATCTTTAATAATAAGTTGTCCCTCATTATATAAAAGGGAAAAAATGGGGGAGAATTTACATGACAAACAAAACCAATCGAGAAAGGGGATCATTAAAGTAAATGAGATGAGATTGATTGGAGAAAAGAAATGAAGAAGAAAAAAATAGAGAGGGGAAAAGAATGGGGAATATGTGATGAGAGGTGGATCGGATGAAAGAGATCAGAGAAAAGAAGAGAGAATGCTGGGGTATTATGAGTGGATCGACGGATGAGACACGGATTCGGTTACTGCTTAACATTAGTTCTTGTTTGGGAAACGGGAATTGTAAATGAAAAGCGCTTTTGCCGTAATTCAAAGTGATTCAAGGGTATTGAATATTATCAAAAAATAACTGTATCTTGAATAAATGAATGTACTGGGCTAGAATAGAAAGTTTGTTTTGTATTGTTGATCAGCTCTTGCTAATGGATCAGCTCTTGCTAATCGATCAGCTCTTGCTAATCGATCAGCTCTTGCTAATCGATCAGCTCTTGCTAATGGATCAGCTCTTGCTAATGGATCAGCTCTTGCTAATGGATCAGCTCTTGCTAATCGATCAGCTCTTGCTAATGGATCAGCTCTTGTTAATGGATCAGCTCTTGCTAATCGATCAGCTCTTGCTAATGGATCAGCTCTTGTTAATGGATCAGCTCTTGCTAATCGATCAGCTCTTGCTAATGGATCAGCTCTTGTTAATGGATCAGCTCTTGCTAATCGATCAGCTCTTGCTAATCGATCAGCTCTTGCTAGTCGATCAGCTCTTGCTAATTGATCAGCTCTTGCTAGTCGATCAGCTCTTGTTAATGGATCAGCTCTTGCTAATCGATCAGCTCTTGCTAATGGCTCAGCTCTTGCTAAACAATTGAATTGTTTCAATTTTGTTTATACAACAATTCGATGACTATTTATTCCTTTTTAGTTTTTCTGCTCATAAACTTTTTCAAATCTTCAATTTTGAAATCACTTTTGAAACTTTCCCCTCTCGTTTAAGGAAATTGACCGAAATCCGACAATTCAGTGGCGTGATTTTGACTAATTCTGTCCCTTTTGTTTTCTTCTCTTCGTCTCTTGACCATTACGATGAAATCGAATCCTCGCACGATCTTGAAATAAACCTCAAAATGAAATGCTTTTTATGGCATTAATTGTATTCTTTTAGCATTCTTTTAATCTTTTAATGTTAATGACTCTTAATGGCATTCTTTTAATATTTAACTTTTACCATGGATACTCGGAATTGCCTTTAGTTTGAAAATTTCAAACTCAACTCCCCTCCTGCCTTCAGTAAATTCATTTTTCTTTTCTTTCAAATTTCTATTCATTTATTCATTGAATACATTTTAAAATAGCTGTTGATAAAGGAAAAAAAGCTAGAAGTTTTATCTCAAATCGATTCCATTTATGCTTGTTAAATCTCTCTTTTCTGGATTGAAGGCTGAAAATTTTCAAAAGAATGACTCATTTTTCACTTACGTGATGCAAAAAGGAGAAAAAAAGAACAAAAAAAAGGGAAAACTTCCTCGTTTTCTTCATTCTAGTGAACTTAATTTAGCAGTTTTGATTTAAAATTAGTCAGATAATCGATAAAAGATTCAGAAATATCACTATGATCAACTTTGAGTGACTCAACTTTTCTTTGATTTAAAAAAAAACATCGTAATTAGATGCAAACTGGGCGATCATTTCCCTCAAGTAGAGTGAGTTGGATACAAAGATGCTCAGAAGCTAGTAACTCTAGCACAGTAATATAGGGATATCGGCTCAGTGGCTCTTGGTTTTACACTAAATATAGTGCCGTAACCCTATGTAATTTCGAAAATCCATTGAACCCACTTGGAATTGACGCTAGAATACTCTGTCCCGCCATTCTCACTCAGCTATAGATATTTTCCTCTAAAACAAATAATTATTTGAAGAAATTTAATCAAATATTTTTTTATTTAAATAACGAGTCCCCGGTGAACTTCTGAACATTGCTCCTAGAAACCAGAAAATCAGTAGGCACAAAAAAACAAAGGTTCCTACCCCATAGAACGATTGATCCGCCACCATAACTGTAGGACGCAAGTATTTCATGTTATAACGTTGTCCGACTGGTTTTCTTATCAAATGATTGCCATCAGGGGCGAAAAGATTGACTTTCGATTCATCGGCGAACACAACATTGGCCCAATCGTGCGCCGTCCAACTTTGATACTTCTTAGCAAACTCGAGACGAAGCTTTCGGTGCTTAGCTACCATCAGAGGTTTCTTGGCGATCCTTCTAGTCATCAATTCACCGCGAATCAGGCATTGAACTCACTGTTTTTCGAGAAATTTCTTTGTTAAACTGTTGCTTCACCATAGCCACGCCATCAGCGACATTCAGATTTGGGTTCTTCTTGTGGGCCAGAACGAGCGCCTTGTCTTCTCGTAAAGTTGTGACCTTTGATGCACGATGAACGTTTCCCGCGAGTTTGGCCAGACAACAAGCGACACAGTTGTTTCGGTACAGCGGAAGAGCTCAGATCGATTGATTCATTATTTATTTTAAAAAGTAACCTTTAAAAAAGCGGACAAGACTTTCCGGTCAAGCTGATATGTTAAGCCAAGTTAATTCTCGCATCGGAATTTCCCGCCAGTCCCTTCGAGATTCATTGGGAAATCTCATGTCATGGAACTCATCTCTCTCCGACCACGAGTTCCTGATTCGCATTCCGAGAAGAGAGAGTTGTTTGCCGAGAGTCTTCTCTTTGCCTCATAGGGCCCTCGGTGGGCGATGGAGGCGTCGAGGGGAGAAGGGCCGCCAAGAGGATCAATTCTTTTGCTCTTTCCTTTTTCCCCTCTCCTCCTCGTTTCCCCTTGATTTCCCTTTCGAGAGGTGCCTCTCTTTTAAAAAAGATCTCCCAACAAAAAAAGGCGTTGCCATAGGAGTCGTGGCTGACTAGGGGGTGGAGGATGGACTGACTTCTACCTCTCCCCTCCACCTCTCCTCCCCTCCACCTCTCCTCCTCCCCCCCCACCTCTCCTCCCTGGCCGTTCCCTCTCCACTCCACCAGGGACATTTCAATGCCTTTTCCCTATCCCATCACCATTCCCAATTATCACCTGACACATTCATCGCCAGTCCTTCTCCTCTTCATCTTCAATTAATTCGAATCGATTTATTTTCTTTTCTTGTAAACATTTTCTTGACGTATATAATTTCCATTTGCAACTACCGTAGATTGTTTTTCATTTTTACCCTTGAATTGTTTTTTTTTCACCATATCAAACTTTTGAACTTTCAGTTTATCCGGCCTCAGACACCAGGCCGGATTTGTGACTCCACTCAAACAAATGAAGAAAGCGATGCGAATACTCAGTGCCGTTGTGCTGCTTCTTCTCGGTGTCACTCATGGGAAACATCATCTTCATCCAAGAGGTCAATTTTGTGACAAATATTAAAGAAAGAATAGGTAGTATTTGAGCATATGAAACAATGAAATAATATCATTTAAATATCTGTTAAGAAAATGCATTTCAAAATTGAATGCATATGCATATGCTCGCATACTTTCTGTTCTTTCCTTTCCATCCCTGTTCATCAGTTTGACCGACTCATTTCCCATCAAGTGCTCCCCTTTACTTTCAATGAGTTTTTCGGGAAAAGACTCCACAAAACAAAAGCAAAAAAGAACCATTAAGCCTATAGGGATGTGTTTCAAAATGCACACGCTTTTTCCTTTTTTTCCGATCTCTCAAATGGGATAGCGTTTGGAATAAGAAACAAGAATTGAAAGAGAAAGAAACACTCACGAGTTAAACAGTAAATGTTCGGGGAAATATTAGGTTGGTAACTTGAAAGTTGGTACACTTATTTATTGGACTTTTTTAGAAATAACCAGTCCACTAGTTAATCTACAGTTTTTACCAATAAAAAGGTCTATTTATTCTCTAAGATTTGATTTGGATAATAGACAGTAATTTGAAAAAGACGTCTTTCGACTACAGTAATCCAGACAGTAATTGGGGTAGGCTAGTTTCCGCAATCTTTTTTTAGCGCAACAGGATCATTTGCGCAACTCGCCATAACTTTCTTCTAAGTCGGTCAATCTTTATGATTTTAGTGTCATTTTGTTGCAATTATTGAGATCTATAAAATGACACTAGAAATCATAAAGATTGACCGACTTAGAAGAAAGTTATGGCGAGTTGCGCAAACGACCCTGTTGCGGAAACTAGCCTACCCCCAGTAATTTGAAAAAGACGTCTTTCGACTACAGTAATCCAGACAGTAATTCGAAAAAGACGTCTACAGTGTATTTAGTATTGTCATGTATTCAATTCCCGTCTTAACCTCAAGAATTTCAAATTTCTAAGCTTAAAAGCTTTCCAGGAGAAATGTCAAGAGAAATTCGGCACCGAAAAAAGTGTACCAACTTTCAAGTTGCCAATCTTATATTTATCTGTGTTCAGATAAAGACTAAATAAAAATTTGAATCTCTTTCCTTAGTCATCTCAAAATTTTGCAGTGCCGATCATCAATTTGCACGCTGCCGAACAATTGACGGCGACGATTCGCGAAGATGAAAATGTTCTCTCGACGGTTCCCGATTTGGGCATTCTCCCTGATACTGGTATGATTTTTAAAGAAAATCTTTACTTTTTACAATCTATTTTTAACTTGCAATTAGTTTTTCACGCTTTTCTTTTTCACCTGTTCAATTTTAACACTGATTTATTATTTTATTAAATAGTAATCAAGATCATGATTTTAAATTAGTTTTTTTGAAAATACGGCTCAATAAAATTTGACTTAAAACGAGCTAAAACGAGCGGGTTTTGAAAAAAGGGAAAGCTGATTGGCATGACGACAATTTGTATCCACAATCTATCATTTTAGGCCCGATTTGTCGCTACGAAGTGACATCACCAAAAGCCGGAGTGGTTGTGCCATTCGATGTGCAAATTGTCGATCAGCTCACCGGATCGGCGGTTATCAAAGTCAAGGTTGGTGGCTGCGTGGAGAATAGTGTCGTTTATGTGTTTTGAAAATAGAAAGCTAGATGAAAATAGAGAGCTATTCTTGTTTGGTTTAAAGATAATCTTATCATTTTAACAATTTTTCAGGATTCTCTCGCTCTCGACTGTAAACAAGCCGAGTACAATCTGACAGTGACGGCGATTCGTTGCGGAAGTGATGGAGCCAAATCCGAGGGGTTCGTTCATTTAGGAAACTTTGAAAATCACTTTAAAAAATTTTGAGGAAAAAATTTGACGAAAAAAATAAGCCAAGATTTCGTGTAGTTGCAAATCTTTGGAATTTTCTCTCACAAATCGGTTGTGTTTGATGAATCAAAGGGATTTCTTTCTCTTGGGGGATTTAAATGAGATGAGAGGGGATTACAGTAGGATGGATTGAAAAATATAGAAAAAATGAGAGATGAAAATGGGGAGAGAAAGAGAAAGAGAAAGAGTGGTGAGTTGTCCACCCACTCTTTCATCCAGATTTCTGATCTTCGATGATTATAAAATTGCAAATTTGTATGGTGTGCTCAAGTTTAAGGCTTTTTAAGAGTGTAAAAGTGTTCCAATTATCCTGAGCTTGCCAAACAGCCAACCGAGAAAACAAAGAATAAAGATTCATTTTCCGGGAATCTCATTTCTGATGAAGGTGATGAAATGAAGGAAATGAATGAAATGGATAACAAATATTGAGTACACCCCTTCATCAACTTCTTCTTTCTCTTCTTTTCCTTCTCATCAACTTTTTCTCATCTCTCCTCATTTTCCCCTCTTTTTCCTTTCAAATTTCTTTCACTGAATACCCCTTTTCATCAAATTCAAAGCAAGGAAAACTCTTAATTAAACCTTCTTCTTTTTTTCCCCTTCAAAAAAAAAACCCCTCAATTTCCCCAAGATCTCCACCAAGATTCTTTTCATTTTCATCAAAAATAAGCTGTCACTAGCAGAAACCAATAATTTTTCTACTCAAATCATACACTTTAAAATATTTTCGAGATCAAATAAAAAGTATTCAGTGAAGTATTACGGTAACTTTGAGAGTACAATGTTTGTGGTAACTTTGAGAGTTAAGAGTAGTTTGAGAGCACAATATTTGTGCAGAATCTTTAACCTAACTGGTATGAAAATAACAAACTGCAATGAAAACTGCAAGGATTGAGCAAGTTGAAAATCAGTTTGACATTAAAAGGGTAAAAAAAATAACTGTAAAATGGTGAAATTAGAAACGAGAAATGTTTAGTGTTCCCCTTCGTGTCACCGTAAAGGACACAAATAATCATGCGCCAGAATTCGCTCAACCATGGTATGCATTCACCGTCGATGAAGGTAAAATCAAAATCCAAATTATTATATAGCTTTTTATCAATCAACTTTAGGTCGTCTTTACAATGAGATCACCCAATTGACAGCCACTGACGCCGATTGTGGACATCCGTTTGGAGAGGTACGAGAAATGAATCGAGTTTTGCGAATTTCAAATATTACAAATGAAATATTACAAATTAAAGAAAGCAGAGGCACAAAAATTTTCTCTTAAAATGTTTCAAAATGTAGGTGTGCGAGTATGAGATCACAAATGGTTTGGACAACTTCCCGTTCGCTGTCTCGAATCAGGTAAAATGATGATCTAAGGAATTGTACTTAAATTTTTTCTATTATTAATAAATATGTAAAAAGTAATGCTCAGGGAGTCCTGCGGAACACTCGTCCACTCAACGCAACCCTCGCTCGATCCTACATTTTGACCATTGTCGCTCATGATTGTGGAATGAAAAGATCGAAAAGTGTTTTGGTGACAATCAATGTCAAAGGTAAATATACGTTTATTATTTTTCCGTTTATGCTAACGCAAGTCTGACTCTAAGGCACGAACTCAAGATAAACTTTTGTCTGGACACCTAGCTGCAAAATGATAGAAATTGCTTCAAAAGAAAAACAAAACGTTGCATCAGGGACCGAACCTTCACCTCGTGCGCGGAAACCCAATGCCTTATCCATTAGGCCACCATTCAATCTTTCTTCCGCTAGGAAGCAGCCTTTTAAAGCATCGTTTTTGACCAAATTTTCGATTGAAGCTTTATATGCTTAGATAACGCCTGCAAGAGTTACACGCCTGGTAGCCTAATGGATAACGCATTAGGCTTCCGCGCACAGGATCAGAGTTCGGTTCCTGATGATTTTCTTTTTCTGTTTTGACGCCAAATTTTTGATTGCAGTTTTACACGCCGGGAAAGTCATTTGGCAGATTTTAATTACAGATTCGGATTTCTCATAATCGATTCTATAAAGTGCACTAGGTGACCAGACAAAAGCTCACCTTGAGTTCGTGCCTTTCCCTAGTAAAGCTAGCCGTACCTCTTGCAGTCTTACAGAGTGCAGAAGTAAGGTGGTAGGGTAGTGAAACGAGATGAGCGAAATACTGTTTACACAAATCGAATGCCTCTATTCCAGAGTCATGTGTCGAAGGAGTGAGCAATATGCCGGAAAGAATCAGTTACACTCCCGGAAGTGGAGCGAGAACACTTTTCCCTGATGCACAAACACATTCATGTCAAACGGTGAGCTGAAAATGCGTATTCGATGCTAATTTGTAGATAATGCGTTTTCTAAAACGTGGATAAACTACCGTAATCTTTGTTTCATGATTTAATTTTATTCTCATTTGATGAGGATCAAAATGAAGCGAATGGGAAATAAAATCGCGCAAAATTTGAACAAAGATTACGGTAGCTTCGTCCACTTTTTAGGAAGCATTATTGCTGACGAAGGATTCAATTTTCATTTATTTATACAATATTTTATCTGTCTTGAAGTTGTTGACATGAAAATATTCAGGCAACCGATTGTGAGATCGTTCAAGCGACAGCTGTTGTCGAGTTGAAAATGGCTCATGTTAGTGGGGGATGTTCACGACAAAATGTCTTCGGAAATGATAATATTAAAAAGTTTGTTGAAATTAAGAATTTTAAAAAAAAAGCAAGTAAATGTTTTAAGTTGTGGCCTCTCTCAGCAACATGTTTCCCTTTTGCCAAGCGGCGATAAAGCCGAATCGAGCAGCTCTGAGGAATCGAGTGAAGAAAATGAGGTGCGATTTTGGGGAAAACTTATAGAAAGAAACAAAAACTATTAGATTTTCTAATACTAAAATAAAAGTTAAATTTCAAAATAGGTAATCTTTTAGGTGATCTCTGAGAAAGAAAAATACACTTTCGATGGCCGAACCAATGCGATAATTGTACCTGAAACGAGTGTCAAAGGTAAACCCTTTTAGAAATTTCAGTTTTTTTTGTATTTACCGTATTTCTTCGAATAGAAGACCAGGTAAAGAGTATCATCGCGTACTCCTGCGTAGCAGCCCTTCTTTTTCAAAATTTCTTTTCTGCATAAAAGCTTTCAATCAAGTGCTATAGGGCTGGAAAATGACTCAAAAATACCACATAAGCTAACAGATTTTTGAGCCATTTTCTAGCTCTATAGCACTTCATTGAAAGCTTTTATGCAGAAAAGAAATTTTAAAAAGGGCTGCTACGCAGGAGTACGCGATCATACTCTTTACGATGGGCTGCTACGATGATACTCTTTACCCGGAATAGAAATTCGAAGAAATACGGTAGATAAATTGTTCAATCGACATTTTTATCTTATTCAAATTCAAATCCAAATTCAAATCCAAATTCAAATCCAAATTCAAATTCAAATCCAAATTTCAGCTCTAATCCCCGACAAATTCACTCTTTCATTCACGATGAAACACGAGCGCGGAACGAAAGATGAACAAAACAATAAGCAGAATATCCTTTGCGAGAGCGATGATTTCAGTGAGTTGTCGAAGAAGATCTTAAATCTTAAAATTCTAATTTATAAAAAAATTTTTCAGATATGAATCGTCACCATTTCTCTGTCTACATCAGGCACTGTAAATTGGAGGTGAGAAATGAAAAGTGATCACAAATTCAAATGACAAATGCAATTCATAAGTGAGAAATGGAAAATGTTCACAAATTCATATGCAATTCATAAGTGAAAATTTCTTTTCAGGTTGTCCTCCGCCGTGAATCAGGAGCCGCCGCCGAGTTTCGCGCCGCTGAATGGAGATGGGCGTTGCCTGAGGTGAGAGAAATGGCATTTCTAACCAGTGGTTATGGTCGAGTGGTTAGGAGTCTTGTATTCTAGTCTGGAGATCACGGGTTCGATCCCAGCGCCTAGATCTTAGCTCTTTTTTCCATATACATGGGTTTTTCTGAAGCTTTCTGAAGCTTTCACTTAATCTAATTGTCAGGTTTGTGATGGGGAATGGCATTCGTACACTCTTCTTTTCAATGGAGTCGATGATGTGAATATGATGATCGATGGAAAGGGATATCGGTTTGTTGAGAGCTTAAGATTTTAGAAAAAGTATAGTATCCTTAGTTGACATTTGAAGATAAAGGAGATATAGTTATTTTGTAGAAATTTTATAGAAATTTTCCCAATTTTAGTCATGATGAGCGAAACCCGGAGATTTTGGACGATTGGCCACTTCATCAAACGAAACAACAGGTAAGTGGGGGAAAGGGAATACTAAACAATACTATTTACAAATAGTATTGGTTTTAAAATATTCTTTATGAAATTCCGTTATAGAAATCCACAACTTACTTACTACACTTTAATATAAAAACATCGAGAAAATTTCACTCAAAGTCAGAGAACCTACCTGAAGGGGTCGATCCACTTAAATGGTCTATAACTCAAGATGCAAAAGTTGAATCAACTCACAAATTTAGTGCTTGTAATGTAGTCTATTGTTTCTTTTTTCCCAGAAAACCCGTCTTGTTGTTGGTGCGTGCTGGCACGGACGACAGCAACAAATGGCACAATTCTTCCACGGAAAAATCTCGAACATGTGAGAAATTTGAGAGAAAACGATATTCAAACGAATTCCGAATTCTAGGCATCTTTTGGTGAATCAAGTTGAATCGGAAGAAGCACTCGCTTGTGCACATCGATGTCCCGAACAATTGACGTTCAGTGGATCCGATGAATTGACCGATGGAGAGGCAAGCTTCATTTTTGCAATTTAAACAACCTCATTCTAAAATAAATTCAACTCTACACATATAGATAAGTATTTCTGAAACTCGTCAATTTCTCAATTTCTCAATTTTAGTCAGCCACTCTCGACCCCGAGCAATCGTCTCTTAAACTAAACGCCTCTTCTACGCAATCTCTTTCCCGGATGCTTCAACGTGTCGCCTATGTGAATAGCCGAGAAAATCCTGTACAAGGACATCGACAAATCGCTGTCACTCCACAAATCACATGCAAACAAGGAAAAAAAGTATCCAATCCCTCAATGAAACAGCCATTCAAATTGCATTTTCAGATCGAGCTACCCACTTATAAATCGTATCTCTTTGTGCAAAAACAAGCCGAACCAGAGCTGTCAATCTCTGGAGATTCCCTCGTCGCAGCAAATCAGCACTCGTTGAAAACCGGAATGCCAATGTTGCCGAACATTAAGATCACTGTATCGCAGACTGGAATTGGTGAGAGATTTAACTGGAATACTTTGAGAGGGAATTTTAAGAGGAAATATCAAAGAGCTCATTTTAGACGGAGAGGTCAATGAGATCACGGGAGCGAAACTCGACTGGTGCCAGGTTCATCTCAAGCCATCACGGTAAGTTAAAGATTGGATTTTCGTAAAAAAAAAAACCTTTTCAGCGACAAGGACTTGGAATATTTCTCTTCGCCTGCTTCCATCATTGCAAGCATGAAAATCGATTTTGAACACGACAAAGAGGGCATTTTTCTGAGAGGCGAGGAATCGGTGAAAGAATATGTGGAAGTGTTGAGCAAGGTTGGATATAGTTTTGAAAATTGTTTCAGTAAGATTTAGGTTCATTATTTCAACACTCGTCCAGAGAGCTACCCGAAGAGGATTTACAGTGTACAGTGTGCGATGGCGAAGGGACGCGTGAAATCCAATGAATTCCTCGTTACGGTAACTTTTTTTTTCCAGACAATCGGCCTTAGCAAAAACTTTTTTTTTGATCTACACCTGGATTTGCTTGAAGTTGAAAGTAAAATAGAGATCAATAAAGTCGAATCTCTCAACCCACAGTCACTCTTTCACCGAGTTAGTCTACCAAAAGTCTAACCAAATTGATTTGAAGTGAAAGAACTGAAATTGATCGAAAAATGAACGCTTACTTTTTCCTCTAAATTGTTGTCTATATCATTTGCCTGAGGAATTTTTCCCATTTTCTCTCTTTTTTTTTTCAACTACCGTAATTGGCATCGTTTTACGTTGTTTGCCATTCGAGAAGGAAAAAAAGAGAAGAAAGATGGTCATAGATTGGGGAAAAAAAGATGGAGAAAAGGGAAAGGGGAAAAAGAGAAGGCCCATTTCATTTGGGACGCGAATTTTAGATAAACTTTGCCCGCCTCAGGGTCTCCCTTCACTCAATTCATCAAAAAAAAAAAGACATTTAATATTTTATTTCCGTGTTTTAAAAGTTTTTACCTTTTTTGTAAACGACAGGATAGATGTTGAGGGACTTCTAGAATTCCAGGAGTTATTATAAGTTTAGAAATTTCGAATCTATTTATCTAATCCCTTGAATACTCAGTTTAGCATCATTTTAAAGTCTAAACCAGCTCGACCAGCTCGTACTTTATGCTGTCTCAAACTTGCTCTTTCTGATACACTGAATGGAGACCAGTATTTGAGAAAGCTTGCGTTTCTAGGAGTACAAAGTACATGATTCGACTTTGTCAAGCTAATTTTACTTCCTGTCTACTCATGAAATCACTAAAGAAAAGTTTTTCTTCGTTAATCTTTCCAACATTTATCCCAGAAATTATGCAAAGAAGGGGTTAGGTAAAAAGAAAAGAAAAAAACGAGGATCGGTGAGTTTGCTATTTTTCTTTCAGTCGTGGGTAAATCGTGATGAAAAAAAAGAGGAAAGGGACGCAATTTCGATATAATTAATTCTGGTGGATAGAAAAAAGAAAAAAGAAAAAAAAGAGACTTCAATCTTTCCCAACTGAATATCTTTTTTTCTCGTAAGGTTGGGTGAATCTCTTTTCCCTTGAAAAGATAGGCAATTTTCCCGAGTTTCTACTTTTTTTTTCTTCTTCTATTTACCCAAGTTACAATGTTTTTCCAATATCTGGTTGATATCTTTCGTTCTTTTAAGTCTTTGATCAAAAATTTATCATAAAAGAACCAAAAAGACAAAAAGGCTAAGTGTCGAATTTCATTTGAATATATTATTTTTGTTAAAATTAGATATTAGATTAGATGATTACTGGGTAAGTGCAATCTATGGGCAAAAAAAAATTCCAGCCTAAAGCTAATTCCAGCATCGTTTGCTCAGTTCTTCTAGCAAGTACTTGTACCAAATTTCAATCTAACCACCATAGCCGACTGGCCGACCTGCCGACCACCATAGCCGACTTTCAATCTAACCACCATAGCCGGCTTTCAATCTAGCCACCAAGCCGATGCACCGCCACCCCAGCCGACTTCAAATACCACCATAGCGATTCAAAACCCCGCCGACTTTCAATAAACCACCATAGCCGCCATACCACCATACCGACTTCAAATAACCACCATAGCCGTGGCGCCCGACCACCATAGCCGGCTTTCAATCTAACCACCATAGCCACCAAGAGTCCTGTATCTTAGTTAGAAGATCAAGAGTTCAATCCGTTACAAAAAGTTATACAACAATCGATCATTTTCTTCTTTTTTTTTCTTCTTCTTTTGACTTGAGCCCCAGTTTATATAAGGCGTCTCTTTTTCTCCTCTAATCCTTGGGCTCTTTGACCTTATGGATTATGCTTTAGCTTTTTGAAAAATAAAAATATTCATCTATTGAAGTATTATTATTTTCAAATACAATATTCTAGATGTCAATCGAGGCTCCGAAAGTCGTTTTGCCAACCGAATCACCCGAGTTACACACCGCTCCAACACTTGATGTCATTGAAAAGGTACTTAAAGATCAAAATCTTTGATTCTCAAAATTCAACTCAAAAATAACCCCCAATTCTTCCAAACAGTGGATTCAGAAAGCAAGGCACAAACTCGTAAGTTTATCCCCGAAAAGTAAAATACACTACTGGACAATGAAATATCATATTTGAAAAAAGATCGTCACTTTCGCGCGCCTGTCGCCTTTCGCGCGTCACTCCCTTGTCTTTACCGTATTTCTAAATATTAATATTACCATTGTGTAGCGCTTGAAAAGAGCTTTCAGAAAATGTAAAACACTAATAGTTTAAACTCAAAGACAAGGGAGTTACAGACGCGTGAAAGTGACGATCGTTTTTCAAATATGATATTTCATTGTCCAGTACTGTAGTTTTGCGAGATTCCCCAAGATTTTCTTTATCTTTTTATCCCCCTAGATTTTTTTTTGGAAGTAAACACGTCGTCCATAACAACAGCAACAATTGACAAATATTTCCCCTTTGATTTCAGCATTTCGAGCCATCATTCGATCAATTGGGCGCATCGAGATTGCAGAATATTTTGGAGATGGATTTACCCCGACCAAAAGCCCTTCTTTCACATCATGGATACGATATGGGACAAGGAGCGGTGGCTGGTGAGTGATTGAGAGGCTTTAAAGAACATAGAAATATAAGTATATCATCTTGGGTAGCCAGTTATAGCATAAAAGATCTCTACGAGAAGATGCTATTCAAAAATTGCATGGTACAATAACAAAAGTATGCTTGCATTATAATTACGATAATTTATTCTAGTAGTAAGAGTTTGTTTGGTAAATTACGATAATTTACTCTAGTAGTAAAGGATAGGATAATTCTTTTTAAGGATAATTCTTTTTAAGGATAATTCTTTTTAAGGATAATTCTTTTTAAGGATAATTCTTTTTAAGGATAATTCTTTTTAAGGATAATTCTTTTTAAGGATAATTCTTTTTAAGGATAATTCTTTTTAAGGATAATTCTTTTTAAGGATAATTCTTTTTAAGGATAATTCTAAGGTGGATCAAAAATTGATCAATATTAAATCTTTTACTCATTTCAGGTGGAGCTGTTGCTGTGGTTGTGGTTGTTTGTGTCGGTTTCCTTTTGGTTCTTCTCGTTATTGGAGTGTTGAAGATGAGAGATACACCAATCCCAAAAAGACATCCAAGAAGACAAAAGAAAAATGTAAGTAAAGAGAAATTATAGATCAAGGAACAAGTTACAGGAACCGGGGATGCAATGGGACGATGAGGGCATGAATATCACAGTGAATCCAATGGAAGATGTGGAGAAAAATGGAGGAGAAACGATTACTGAAGGATATTCGGATGATGAAGAAGAGAGTGATCAAGAGAGGTAAAGAAGCCAATCTAGAATACATTGAATAAAGAGGAGCATTTAGTGAGTGCTCTTTCCACGATGATGAGGAGATGAGCGAAGATGATGATGTTGAGGCTGAGGTGAGGATTGGATTTTGAGTTCAATTGGCAGATATCATTTTTGATTTGACAACTTGAACAAACGAGATTTTGAAGTTTTTAGGTGCTACCCCATAGTGAGAATCGCGGTCAAAATGGACTCGAGTGGGACGACGAGACAATTGCAACCACCCGTTCATACAGAGTCTGACACTCTGGAAAGTCCAAAATCCAAATTCCAAATTCTTTTTCCCCCAAAAAAAAAAACTCGCCCCCTATTCTTTTCTAGCTGTACATTTGTGCAAGATTGCAAACACTAAACTCGATCTCGTAAACTGGCCATCCGGTGCACTCATGCGAATGCTTACAGTGTGCCAGATGATGTATTTTGCGTAGATCTTGACAATTGATTAAAAGAAAATAGCCCCAAACACTCTCCGGCCACATCCGTTGATCATCCATCTCTCGATCATCTCTCCATCTCTCCATCTCTTCATTCTCATTCTTGATCTCCCCCCAATTCATTCACCGTTTTTGCACACCGAAAACGGTCGGGTTCCAACCGAATTTTCCTTTTATTTGTGAAGAAAATGATCTTTTTCTCTCTATGTTCCCTCTTTTTTGGTTGTGTGATTTAACTCGTATTATTTTTTTTCTTTAGCTTAGTCAGGAGTTCTTCCAAAATTCCTCTATTTCTTCTTTTCAGTGTGCACGTGTTATATCATTGTATCATTTGTACGATTTTTTTTGTTCATTTATTGGTTTTTCTTTGAAAAATTTGCAAATGCCATCCGAAAATTCAAAGAAAACCCCTCGCATTTTAGTTTTCTTTTGTCTCGATTTCTTTTTTTGTGTTTCTTCACCTCTTCTCGTCATTACATTACTAGTCAAGAGATTTTACACCACATTCCGGTTGAAAGAAAAAATTGTGTGTGAAAAACGATTTTTGCGGAATCCCTCTGTCCTGTTTCTCTCTTTCTGGAAATAAAATTTTTCTGACAAAAATTTTGGAAAAATGCACAGAAATGTTTATGGGATTAAGGTAAAAGACAGTAAACAAAGTGGGAAATTTAATTGCCATTTTTGATCTGCGCTGGCACTCTTTGGCGAGTTACTAGGACGAAGTTACAACCCTTGTAATTTGGAGTTACCGGGGTGTTACTTCAAAGTTCAAAGTTACTAAGGCGTTTTTTTTAGTTACAAGGGCGGTTTGAATGCGCTTTTTCGACTTTTAGACAATAATCAAATGCGATATATGTTGTCTATGAACATTTTTATTGATTTTATATTTATTTCAACAGAGATAGGGTGTAAATGAATAAAAAAAATATAAAATCTATAAAAAGCTTATAAAATTTCTTTTTCTTCGATAAGAAAATTGGGAAAAATAAAAATATTTGCGTCTTTTGCACAATGTGCACAATAACTTGAAAACTTGCGACTTTCTAATTTCCTCTTTAAAGTAATGCAAAGGTAAACTTTTCTCTTTGCCTTTCTTTCTCGCAACTACGATTCCCAACAAACGCCAAACCAATTCTATCGCGTGTTTTCTTTGCAAAGAACCAATATTTCTCTATCGTGTCCCTTTCTATCATTTCAAAATTTAACTAATTTGATGATGAAGCAATTAACGTTTTCTTTTTAGATGAGTTAGAAAGAACAACGGAAGCAAGATGAGAGAAATCGATGATTTTGTTTTCCGCAATCTCTACTACACGGCGATTTGTCTTGCAAAGGTCAGAAAATTAGCTAAACTAAGTTTAGATCAAAGATTAAACTTAAACATAAGCGAGAAATAACTTTTATGTTTTAGATTCAGAAAAAGAATGTCTTCGAAATCAAGAGAATATTGCTGAATCGAGTGGTGAGTGTTTTTTTTCTGGAATTTAATACAAAATAACTTTTTATGTTTGTTAAAATTAATATTAGCTAATTAAATTGCTTTTAGGAATTGACGGATGCCGAACATTTACATCTCAATCACAATCTTCGCGCCGCTTTCTCGGCAACTGGGATTTATCTTCTCTTTTCGAATGGTCGCTTCATTGAAGATCTCTTGCCGACACTTCTCAAAGCACTCCAAGCACTTCCACATTGTAAATGGATCGATGATGGATTGATGAACAAAAGAGACAGTTGGTTATATGATTTGTTTGAGAAGAGCAAAAACTGAATTATTAATTGAATTACTTTTGAATTAGCTAAATAAAACTGATTCTGAGTTTTTTTGAATCTAGTTTCCATTTAGAAGTGCCGATCTTTGAACAATTCGCCTTTTGTTTCAATACGATTCTTTCGGATCTGGCTGCTCGACATCTTCTACAGCAAGAAGAAATTCTGAGAGCTCAATTGGGTTAATTTTATAAGCAAACAAAAATAGATTTAGATTTAGATACCCTTGCTTGTGCGGTCGATGAAATTCTTGAAGTGATCGATGAGAAAATGCCAAGTACACAGTCTAAGTGTACGCGATTAAAAAAAAATTTTCCAAAATGTATGTTTTTAGTAAATGCAATCAAACTGCTGTGCCTTGTGTTGGGTCTATTACGATCCTTTGGGAGATGTTCGAGTGATTGGGAAACACCATTGATAAGGTGAGGAGAGAAAAAAAGAGGAGTGTAATACTATCTAAACAACTGTAAAGCAAATAACAATGTAACGTTGCTAATTGTATTTTCTTTCAGTTACATATTTCCAATTGACACCGGAAAGCAGCAACAATCAGATGGGGAGAAACCGGCACCAAAAAGAATTGACTCAATTCGTTTGTCGACGGAAAACGAGAATCTTCCCGGTTACGATCTTCAAGAGAAAGAGGGCGATCCAAATCGGTTAAAGGTTTTTTTCCAAAATTTGTCTACTAATTCCATTTTCTTTAGCACATGTACAATCGTCACGGAAGCAGCTTTACGACAAGTCAAAAATCATATTTTGCCATTAAACCCAAACATTTGGAAGCACTTTTTGATTCGGTAAGTTTGTTTTTGTTTTTCTAAAGCTTTTTTGCTAAGTTGTGTTTACAGATTCAGCGACTCATTAAGCCAAACGTGTTGACTCAATTAGATGTTTTTGCCATAGAAGTTTATTCGGTTGGATTTACTGTTAAAGAGCTAAATTTTATTTTTATTTAAGAGTGGTTCTCTAAAACGTTTTCCGTATCGATCGATATCTGAAATGGTGACATTATGTTGTTTGACGGTGTTGCGAGATGTGATACAACCATTCTCTGTACTCAGCAGCGATTGTCCAGTGACGAGGGAGTTTGCAAAAGAAGTGAGAAATATTAAAAGAATTAAGAACCTTTATCTTAGCTTCATGCATTTGTTGCTGAAATTCTGAAGCGAAACAACGACCTTCGCTCGCTTTCCGTTTCGGAAGAAAATAAAAGAAGCCACCAACATTTGGTAAGTTTGAAAAAAATAAGTTTGGATTAGCCTTTTTTAGATTGAGCCGATCAATCGTGGCCGGATCGCAATAATGGCTCATTCGGTTGCTCTCGAATTGATTGTTTGGGCAGCAATTGATGATATCGGTGGGTGTTTATATGAATCTGAATGACTTTACATGGCTGATAAAACGTTTTTTTCAGATTCGGATTCGGTCTGCAATCAAATGTCGGAAAGGCTGTTTCATACAAGTACAAATAGGATTCCGCTTTCGCAGCTTCCACTCTTTTACAGGGCTCTCTCGGCTTTGGGTAAGGTTTCAAATAAATTTTACAATTTAATTTTTATCTAGGTGGTCTTGCTGAAAAGTTTCCGTCTGTTGCAACAACGACAGTTATTCCGAATCTCACCAAATTTCTTCTCGAACCGGCGCCATTATTGACAAAGCTAGCAGGAGAATTGGTATTATTTTGGTATAAAACTTTTAAATATTCATTCAAGCCTTTAGAATGAATATCACCGAGGCGATCCTGGTGAACTTCGAGATGAAGAAAATCTTCGGAAACGTCGACAAGCACTCGAGAAACTTCGGAATGTAGCTATTTCAGCGTTGTGCCGGTAGATTCGCTCAGTTAACGATTGAAAATCAAAGACAAATTCAGATCCCTAAAATCTTCTCTAAAAGTTGATGCCAACAGCATTCGAGCCTGTCTAGCTGGGACTTCATCGAAACTTTATGCATGCAGTAAAGCTGAAATAAATTTGTAGGTTTTTAATTTCACTTGCTCTCTGTAACAATTTCTAGTGTGGTGACATTGGTGATTGAGAATGCGATTCTTTTACTTGGAGGAATCGGACAAGCGCAAGCCAATTCGGAGGAAGTACCCGAGTTGATTTTACAGGTTAAACACACACGAAATTTAAGAAATGGATTTTTTAGATTTTCTTACAACGTTTCTCAAATCCTCCGTCTCCTCTAGATACACTCATTGTTCAATGTTTGGCACAAATGTGGACAGCTGGATGTGTAAGAATACATTGCACGTAAAAAAACCTTGGAAAACTTTTAGAGACGCATTCACGATGGAATCATGAAACTTTTTGGCCAAGTTACAATTGAAAGCAGCAATCGGGTATACAATGACAAATCGGAAGGATTGGATCAACGATATTCGTAAAAAAATAAGATTAAAATTTGGCTATGTTTTAATTTCAGACGTGTTTCATTGGCTGTCGACAATGCGTTGATGAGAATGGCTGAGACAATTGAAGACGACGATGATAAACAAGCACTTTTGATACGGTTCAAAAAATGTTAATTTCATTTTTATCTTAACTTTAGCTTATTGGAGCTCTTTGTGCAGTTGGGATTAGAAGGAAAACGAGTCGGAGAGAAAGTCTCAAAAAGCACTGTTAAGGTTGATAGTTAAAACTATTTCTGAGATGTGATATGCTACTTTTATCATTGTTTTCATTTCAGGCTTCAACTTCAGCCGGGAATCTTGGTGTGCTCATTCCCAAAATCGCAACTCTCGTCTCTCGAATGCCACCTGTTTCAAATCCCTCTGTTCGTCTGAGAAATCTCTTTCGCGACTTTTGGTTCTTCTGTACGATTCTTGGATTTGATGTTCAGTATTCAGGTAAGTCATTTTTAAACGGTTTTAAATATTAAATCCCAGGCCTTTGGCCCGAGGAGTGGTACAATGCGGTGTGCATTGTTGCAACGAAATCTCCCGTTTTGACGGCCCAAGAAAATCTGCGCTCGGAATTGATTGAAAATGCTCCAGTAAAAGGAGATGCAATTACGCCGGTTTGTTTAGCCATTGTCGAACTTTTATTTATTTTCATTTTAGACTGATCTACAAGAGATGCGGAATGGCGTATCGGCTGAATTGGAGCACCCGCCAGATGTGGTCGGATTTGTGAATCGAATGGATTTTGCGCAATGCGTTTATCTTCTTTCGGTCCTTCGAATGGAGAAAATGAGAGTGCAAAATGCGACTCATTTAAATGCTGTACCCGAATTCTTCAAGTATCTCGAAGATAGGTGAGTTGTCGGACTGTCAGACTTGCAGTTGACGTTTGATGTCAATTTAGAGCAATTCGCAAAGACAAGACGATGATCTGGCAATGTTTCCTGGCCGGTGCGGTTGTGGTTTTTAACGCATATCTGGATGTTGAAAAGAAGCGCTCTGGGCCAAGTGTACAGGTTTGATTCGAACATTCTTTGGAATAAACGAATGAGGTGATTTTTAGACTCGGCTTGAGTATCACGCCCAATTTCTTCTTATGCAGTTCAATCACAACCTGAGAGAGGTTGGGATTTTACATCTTGCAAATATTCAAATTTTTTTAGGTTCGACGATGTGCTGATCAATGTCTGTCTCGTTTGATCGATCGTTTCCCCCATCTTTTGTGGAATCCAACCGTTTTAACTACGGCTCTTCGGTTGTTACAAGTAGGTTTACCGAAGTAATCCTTTTACCTAACTACATATTTTAGGCATTGGAGTCAAGTGTCGACAAGGAGGAGACAACCTTTTCTCTTTCCGGACTCGATTGGACTATTCAATTGCTGGTAAGTGTTCAATGTTGCTTTGTAAAAATATTGAGCTAACCATGTTCGGATAAGGAATTATTTGCTGTTATCTAGGATTCTCCGGAAGCAAGGCGATCAACTGTTCGTGACTTTCGAGTTCGCTGCGAACAAATCCTCACCGAAGCGATGAAATGGGCCCCAAATGCTACAAGCAGTCATTTAATTGTGAGTTTCACAAAAGTTACCATTAAAATCTACGAATATTTAGGAATATCAATCACAATTTGACGCCTCATTGGATGGATCAATTCGGCAAACAATAGAAGGGCATGGAGGAGAAGGAGAAAAGATCTATCAACGAGGACTCCGAATGCGACCACTTTATATTGGATTGATCAGAGGAAGATTGGCTGAAGCAAGGAGTGGGCATGATAATACTGGTTTGTGAAAATTAATGAAATGCTAGACTTTCCAATTTAGGTACAATGACTGAAGCACAAGCAGAAAGCTACTTAATCAATCGCTTAGAGGAGGATTTTGAAAGAGCTTGCAAAACTGGTGAGATTATAATTGGTAAATGTATATGACTAGTTTTACTAGGAGCCGATGAGGAGATGAAGAATTCGGTTATGTTGTTGACGGCTCTCTTTGTAACATTGCGCGAAAGAAATGACCGGATATTGGGTATCCTCGTGCGAACACCACTTAAGAACTTCACCGAATCGACACTTGAATTGTGTCTGTTGAGTTGGAGTTGGTTATTGGCTGCGAGAAAGGATGTGCAAATGAGATTTTTGCAGGTTTGTGGGTGTTTTTAATGGAAAACACGTGTATTTAGGAACTTTCGCAAAGTTGGGCCTGGTGTGCTCGATTGGGATTGGGAATCTTCGAGAGAGAAATTCCTAATCCGTCGCCACTTTGTGAACAAATTCAACAGCCACGACGGTATCAATTGCTGAAAGCTTCATAATTCGTTATTTTAGACCACCATTTCTTGCACCACATCGAGCATGGATCAATTTCATCGCCGAGCGTGTCGACGTGGCCAAATACTCATCGCGAGAAGAGTTGGACGTTGTGGAAGGAATGTTTGCAAGTACGATTTCGCTGTCGGTCGGATCGGCTCAATCTCAATCAACAGTGAGAAGTCCGATTGGATCTGTGGCTATTGAGCATAATGGTATGTAAAGAAATAAAGGAGTTGAACGAGCAAGATTGTAATTTAGTTTTGTTAACACGCCACGTCGAAGCCGTTGGTCTTCGCTTTCGATTGCTCACTTGTGTGTTGTCAATGCTACAGGTTTTTTCTTGCAAATTTTTATCTTAAAGCTCTGGTTGTTTAGGGAGATGCAAACAATCACCGTCTCTCCAATAACATTCTTCGTCAACGTGTCTATGCTTCAGCTCTTCATTATTTCACCCTTCCACCACAAGGATTGACCCAAACACCGGCTGCTTTGAAGAACGACATCCGACTTCTCATTCAATTTTGGCAAGCAATGTATTCGGATGCGAAATACCTCAAAAAGGAGCGCTTCAATCAAAACGGTTTTACTTTTCAAAATGTTTTGACTAAATACTTTGTTTAGATGAAGAAAATGGATTCTCAGCTTCGGTGCAGCAATTGTTTTCACAGTCAGATCCAACATCGGCTAGGTTGGAACAAAACTCTCGTTTGAAACCGACTCTCATTTAGAGCTGTTTCGTATCAAACATGGCATGCAGCGGCAACTCTTCCCACAAACTATGCAAATACATTGACAATCGTTTCATCTCAGCGATCACTTCTTACTAATGCCGCTAGAAGTACTCGTGAGTAATACAAGTTTGATTTTAATGTAGAACTTTAGCTTCTCGAAAAACCGATCAACAACAATCAAATTCGTCGGATGTCGAGAAACAAGTGCGTGCCTATATGAAGAAAAGAAATCTCATTCTGATGTTGGTGGCGAACGAGATTGAACGATTGTGTGCATGGTTGCACCCATTGGGAGAAGGAACTGAAGATGGAATGACCACTGTTGAACAATGGTTGAAAAGCACTTTCCCTGGTTAGTATAAAGGTTACAATATCTTGAATTGAACATCATTTAGATGCTCGAGCTGAACAAAAATTGTTGAAGGATAGTGCACGACTGGCATGGGAGATCAGTCCGGAGTTGGCCATTTTTCTTCCATCTAGGTACCATTTTGAAAGTTTTCTCCATTAACTCGTTTTTAGATTTCGTAATTGTCCAAATTTGCGCACTACAGTACAACAATTAGTGCGAGTCGGCCCGGATTTGGTGGCCCATCTACCGGAAGCGCTCTCATATTTTCTTGGTGATCCATCAATCTTCGAGTCAGCTGAGATTTCACATGTTCTCACTTGGGCCACATCAACTCCTGTTATGGCGCTCTCATTATTGACACCAAGGTAGAACATCGTTTCTTAGCTTTTTCAATTATCCTTTAGGCAATATCCTCAACATCCAGTCACTGTCCAATATGCTGTTCGTGTTCTTCGTAGTTATCCTGCGGACACCCTTCTCATATACATCCCACAGCTCGTTCAAGCGATTCGACACGATTCTGTAAATTTTGTCAAGATTTCAAGTTTTTATGCCAAGCTCTAGATGGGTTATGTTGCCGAATTGCTTGTTTGGTTAGCCGGCCATTCTCAACTTCTTGCTCATCAATTGCTGTGGAATATGCAGACAAACATGTATTTGGATGAGGACAGCAAGCAAACGGATCCTGTTCTATTTGACCCTTTAACGGATATATCGAGAAAAGTATTTAAATTTTACAAGATTTAATTATCTCATTTATTTAGATTCTTTCTCGTCTTGAAGGTAGTCATAAACGATTCTATGATGCCGAATTCGCTCTCTTCCATCAACTAACGGCAATCTCTGGCACAATTAAACCTTATCCAAAGGGAGAACAACGGAAGAAGGCATGCTTGAAGTCTTTGGCGGAGGTTTGAATTGGACGTGCCACATTTTTCATCCAAGATTCTAGGTTAAATTGGAGACAATCGCTTATTTGCCGTCAAATCCAGAAGCAATTTTGTTGGGAATAGATTATGCGAGTGGGACACCGATGCAGAGGTTATAAGCAAATCTCGAACTTTAACCATTTCAACTTTAGTGCAGCTAAAGCCCCTTTCTTGGCGAGATTTAAAGTGATGAGATGTGGCGCAAGTGAATTGGAAAGATTGGGATTGATGGCACAAAGTGGAGAAAAAGGTTTTACTTTGGGCGCTAAGTTTGTAATCTTTTCTTTTAGGTAAAAAGCCACCACAGCAAGCTGATCTGCATGAACTGGCTAAAGTGCAGGATAGTCGAGTCTGTTGGCAAGCCGCCATATTCAAAGTTTGTTTCCTTGTTAATTACCACACAAAAGGATTCTTTAGGTTGGCGATGATGTGCGCCAAGACATGTTGGCTCTTCAGTTGATGCAATTGATGAAGAATGCATGGATGGCTCTTGGAATTCCTGTGAAAGTTTGAATTTGAACCATTTCTCTAAATTTTTATTCTTTTAGGTATTCCCCTATCGAGTCGTTGCAACAGCACCCGGGTGTGGAGTGATCGAATGCGTCCCAAACTCGAAATCTCGTGATCAATTGGGCCGGCAAACCGATTTTGGTGGGCTTACTGGTTAGAAATTGGTATAAATTGAAGTTTGTTTAGGTCTCTATGAGTATTTCAAGACCACTTACGGCGACGAGAACAGTGAAACATTTCAGAATGCGAGAAGGTTCGTGACATATTAAACTCAAGAATTAAGCTGTGATTTAGGAATTTTGTACGCTCGATGGCCGCCTATTCCGTCTTTTCATATCTTCTTCAAATCAAAGATCGTCACAATGGAAACATTATGATCGACACGGATGGGCACATCATTCATATTGGTTTGTTGCAAAGCTTTGGTCGGTTTATATTACACGCTTTATTCTAGACTTTGGTTTCATGTTTGAGAGTAGCCCTGGTGGAAATCTTGGATTTGAGCCCGACTTCAAGGTGAAATAATGCTATTTAATAATTTTAATTGAGGTTTAGTTGGGCGAAGAAATGGCAGCGATTATGGGCCAAAAAATGGAAGCCGTTCATTTTAGGTTGGGAGTCTTTAAGAGAAAAACTATTGAAAATATTTTTAGAGAATTTGCGTCACTTTGCGTGAAATCCTTTTTGGCGGTTAGGCAATTTCATAAGGTAAGGGCGAGTGTTCTTTGCAAAGAATTTTCTCATTTCAGGCGTTCATTTCACTTGTTTCTCTGATGCTTGATACGGGATTGCCGTGTTTCCGTGGGAAAACGATACAACAGTTTAGAGCAAGGTCCATTTACTTACATTCAGCGTTTATTAATTCAGATCACTAAACGGTGTGATTTTAGATTTGTGCCAGACGTTGGTGAAAGAGAAGCAGCCCGCCATATGCATACGGTGATCACGAATTGCTACATGAATATTCGCTCCAAAATGTATGACCAATTGCAATACTTCCAGAATGATATCCCATACTAGGTTTGTATAAATTGAGCATAATTTATTTATTCTAGGTTTTGTAAATATTTTAAAAACTGCTTTGCTCGAACTTGTGTGATGTTGTGTTAATAATATGCAGGTAGAAGGGTAGATATTTAATAATTTGCATTCCATTCGTTTGTTTATCTATGTTTAATAAATAGTTTATGCTTGTTGCAAAGAAATGCAACGATTTACAGAGAGATTGCATAGAAAATGCAGCGATTTTTTTTGGGGAAAGCTACTTTCAAATATTTTGGGACGATTTACGTTGATTTTACTTTTCACGTTGTTTTATTTTTTTCTCCCAATTCTTGGACTAAACTGTTACCTAATGTTTGTTTTTCTTTTCAGGATTATTATATGGTTGGCTCTCGTTTGGCACAGGATCATCATGGCCATCAATTCGGGTAATTTATCCAGACGTTATTACTTAACTTATTTTTTTGCTAGATCGGATGAGGAAACTTTATCGGATTTTGAAGCACGAATGATGCAAGAAAATCCGGACATTTTAATGGAAGTGGTTCATCTCGATAAAGTGGAATTCCCGTCAAATACCATCAATGATCGCATGCGAAATGAGAGGATTTTGAGTATGGTTGGTGACGATTTTGACTATTTTTTAGTAAGATTAAATTGTTAACAATTGTCTTTGTATTTCTAATACTATAAATTATTTTATTAAGGCTATTGTCATGGCAGAATTGTTTAGATTGTCGGAAACGACTGTAATGTTCAAAGGGTGAGGGAAACGCTGACCTATTTGAAGAAAACGGAGGCAAACAATTTGCAAAGAGATCAACGATCGAACGACAATCACAATGAACAATTGTAGGTGAATTTATTGTTTTGAATATAAGGGGAACTAAAATGCGATGAATCAGTTTAGAGAAACACTTCGAAAGTTGATGGATGATGAATTTCATAAGCAGTCCAACCCGAAGTCCGGCACAAGAAAGATGAAGGGAAATGTGAGACGGGATAGCAGGGATATTGAGAATCTAGCGTTTGTTCTTTTTTCTCTTTTTTTTTCTGTAGAAACATGTAATCGTTAAATTAACGTAAATGTCAAAATAGTTAATTAATTAATTCAATCTTTTTAGTAAACAAACGTTGATGGCGAACGATTTTCCAGTTCGAAAAGAGAGTCGGAAACGTGAAAATGAACGAAGAGATCATTATAGGTAAATTTTTTGTGATGCTTTAAAATGTAGGAATGAATGTTGGCTATGGAATATGGAAAGCTCAAAATTAGTTACAAGTTCTGAGTCGTTTGATTTCAGGCCATTCTGAGTTATGATTTGTTTGATTTTTATTTTATAGCCATTCAAATCAAATCTGATAAAGTGTACTTTGAGACTGTCTCCAAAAAGTGTCCGTCCGACAAACGAGCAACGAAAAAGAAGTAGAGAAACGGGACAGGGTCGAGAAAGAGAAAATGAATGGAGAGGGTATGTTACATTCTTTCGGATGTATTTGAAAAGTTAAAGCTATATAAAGATTTTTTGTTTTTTTAATAACCGCTGTCAATATGTGTTGTTCTTAAGTTATTAGTTGCCGATTGATACTACTGATTGAGCGTTTTTTATTCCAGAGATCGTCCGCGTTTCAGCAGAAGCTACAAGGAAAATGGCGAAAGATCACCTCACAATCGTTCACGTTCATCTCGACATCAAAGAAACTTTTGATCAAAGTTTGATAATATTCTTTTGCTTTCAAAGTGATTTCTTTTACGGGCACATAAACGTTTTCACAAATTGAAACAAAATTCGAAACATTTAAGAAATATTACGGCAAATGTGATGAAAACGAATTGATGGGCATTGTAGATGGTGATTGATTTTTGAGTGAGTGGAGGGAATAATGCATGCATGGAGAGGGGTTTGTGGTTGAGAGGATTACTCATTCGATTCGATTCGATCTATCCTTTTCCCTTCCCCTCCATTCCATTCATTGCTCTCAAGCTTTCCGCACACTCGATGAATGGTTGTTATTACCCGGATTTTGTCTGCATTTATTACGAAATTTTCTACAAGCAATCACACAATCAATGTTATTTATGTTGTTTTAAGAGTTAAGAGCTCCGAGTTTTTTTTGAATAACTCGACTAAAAAAAATGACTGGTGCTTTGAAAAGCTACAAATACACATGTTAGTTGCCAATTTTCGATTCCCGTCTTGTTATTTCAATCGTCTCTCTTCTCACTAGATTTTTTTTCCTTTAATTGTTGAATTGTGCCAAAAGCCACGCGGTTTATGAGCATTTGGCACGTCAAAGACAAAACCCGTTATCGTCTCTCTTTTTTTGGTTCCTCTTGATCATCATCAACACTTTTTTTTGCCGCCATCTCTGTTATTCATTTCATTTACACATTATTTTTGGTAGTTTTCGATTTTAGATGTAAATTTGAATTACATGCTAAGCAAAAGGTGAACGATACGGTCAGTCACCTATCAACAGTCTAGAATATAAAGTCTCTGATCTGAAAATTCCTTGATTTTCCCATGGATACCCGATTTTCGGTTTATAAAATGTATCGATTCATCCTTATTTTGTTTCTTTCTCTGATTCACAACGAGAATTCATTTTATGGGATCTTTTTCCAGACCAACATTCCATCAAACATCTCAAATGTGGTCTACAATCGGGATTTTGGGGATTTTGGTAAATAATTTCTAGAAACTATTGAATGAAGCAAAAAAAAATCGATTTACTGCTGAAAAAAAATTTCATTTTCGGATGCTCTTTGTGAATGGACTCGAATTGAATGAATGCAATGTGACACACTCATGTTGGACACATCCACCATTGTGTCAGGTAGGCGAAAGATGTAAATCTTTTGTAAACATTCTCCAGATTTCATCTTATATCAACACTGATTGATCCATCAAAAATGTAAATCTTTTGATATTCTTTATGAAACATGGGAGTGGGACAAATGCGACCTTTTTTTTTGCGCACCCGGACATTTGCGCACCTTTTTTTCCGCACTTAGCCCATTAGCGCACTTTTTTTCGCGTTTTAAAAAGCTCTAAAAAGCTAATATTAACCAATTTCTATTCCAAAAGTTGTTTTTCTAGGTAATTTGAGGGTGTCGAATTCAAATTTTGACATAACAGAGCTTGTGGAACCAATTTGAAAGACAAAACGGCTAGGTCAAATTACAGAAAATTGTTGATTCTTCTCTTTGTATAACCCTGTTCGTTTGTTTCCACAAGCTCTGATATGTCAAAATTTCGATTCTACGCCCTAAAATTACCTAGAAAACAATTTTTTGAATAGAAATTGGTTAATACACTCTGTCAAAAAATTATAGACGCACCCTGTTTTTTGCTAGTTTAGAGCCGGATATAAGTGCTAGTCCAGTCCAAAGTATTTTTTTAGTTTCTTTAATGTAAAAAAACAACCCATGCAAAATTTCAAGTCATTTCACTCATCCAAAGTATTTTATCGTACAAAAAACGTTTTATTAGCTGTCAAAAAATTATAGACGCAACTTAAATTTGACGATTTATTCTATCGATAATTGTTAGTTTTTGTCATTTTTTTGCTTATTAGTTATGTTTATAAATGTTTTTACATTTTCAAATATGCCACTTGGAAAAATAACTGGATGTGGTGAAAAAAACACGTATCGATTCGCTCCACACGCTTGGTCACTCAAACAGGGACATTGCTCGTCGAATCGGACGTTCTGAGAAGTGTATTCGCACGTATCTCAAGACCAGAGTGACTCCTAAGAAGAAAGAAACACGCGGCCGGAAGAAAAAGTTGACCGATCGAGACGAACGCGCAATTACGAGACGTCTTTCCAACACGACAACATCACTCGAAGAGGTTCGCAAGGAGATGAAGCTTCCGGTCACTCGCCAAACTGTGCACAACGTTGTCAAACGATCTACAATACTCAAATACAAACTCATGAAGCAAGCTCCACGACTTACAAAGGACCATAAAGCCGCCCGTATCGATTTCGCTCAAAAGAACCAGAAGACCAAATGGGAAGGAGTTGGTTTACTAGTATTTCTTATGTATTTTATGTTTAGATCATTTGGAGTGACGAAAAGAAGTTCAATCTTGATGGTGCTGATGGTTTTCGAGGATATTGGAAGGATCCACGAAAGCCGGGCATGGTCTTCAGCACTTTGGAGGTGGATCATGTATGGTATGGGGAACCTTTCGAGACTGGTCGGCTTAGAGTTTATTTCGACCCGGATGACATCGCTTGACTATCAACAAGTGTTGGACAAACATCTAGTCGTCTATCTGAACAACAATCCGGGCAATAACTTTACTTTTATGCACGATAACGCGAGTATTCATGCAAGTCGCTCCACAAGAGATTGGCTGACAGCGCACAAAATCGGCACTGTCGCTTGGCCCGCTTGCAGCCCAGACTTGAACCCGATTGAGAATGTGTGGGGGACACTCGTTCGAGATGTCTACAAGGGAAACAAGCAATATTCGAGCGTGAATGAACTCAAGAAAGCCATTCAAGTAGCCTGGAATCGGCTTCAGCCAACAGCGCTCCATGACCTTGTCTCTTCGATGCCGAGACGTCTTTTTGAAGTTGGACTAAAGCAAGGAGGGGCCACACATTACACCCATGCACAAAAAAAATGTCACATCGTTTTTACAAAACTTTACGCCTAAATTTGACCTACTAAACGTGTTCCAAATTCTATGCTGTCAAAAGGTTTTAGATAGCAAAAAACTTCTACTTTCTTGTGAAAAAGTGTTCAAGTTCCAGCAATTTGTTTAAATTTTTATTTTTCAATAAATACCGGAAGAACACTAAAAACGGGTGCACAAAAAAAATGTCACACATAAAATAAAAATTGATAAAAACAAAAATCTAATATTTTGTCGGGCCTCCCTTAGCTTGAATAACTGCCTGAATCCTCCGTGGCATCGAATCAGTCAAATCCTCCAAGATTTGAGGAGAAATTTTCCGCCATTCGCTTCGAATGAAGTACCAAAGCTCAACCTTGGTCGCAAATCGTTTGCCCTTCAGTTTACCCTTGATGTGCGACCACAAATGCTCGATCACGTTGAGATCCGGGCTGTAAGGTGGAGCAGCGACGAGCTTGACACGATTGTCAGCGAACCATCCCGGTAAACGAGCCCTTCCACCGTTTGAAAGTCGGCCGACCCTTCCTATCAACATCTGGTGCTTGTGACACGGAGCGTTATCCTGGTACAACAACCATCCTTGTCCCATATTCGTGGTCGCAAATGGAAGAAGATCATTCTCCAGGATCGTCTTGTGCCGCTGGGCCTTCAAGGTTGAGTTGAGAAAGACGAGCGGACCTGGTGAACTTCTAGTCATCGCTCCTGAAAAAAAGCAAGATTAGTTGACATAAGGGAACAAGTCTTTTACCCCATAGCATAATCGATCCGCCACCAAATTTGACTGTCGGCCGCAAGTATTTGATGTTATGGCGTTGTCCAACTGGTCTCCGGATCAAGTGATTGCCATTAGGGTTGAAGAGATTGATCTTCGACTCATCGGTGAAAATGACATTGGCCCAGTCATTCGGCGTCCAACTTTGGTACTTTTTTTGCGAACTCGAGTCGGATCTTCCTGTGCTTGGCAACCATCAGAGGCTTCTTGGCGGCCCTTCTAGTTATCAATCCTGCTCGATTCAAGCGTCGGCTCACTGTCATTCGATTGATATCCTTGCCGAATTGTTGCTTGATGAGGCAAACACCATCCGACGCGTTAAGATTCGGGTCCTTATTGTGCGCCAAAATCAAAGCCTTGTCTTCGCGTGGTGTAGTGGCTGGTGGCCGTCCACTTCCTGGTGTCCTGTGCAAATTTCCAGTCGTTCTCGACTTCGCAGCAATGCGAGAAACGGTTCTTACATCACATTTGAACAGCTCGGCCACCTGTTTCCGCGGGATTCCTTGTTTCCTTGCTTCAACAATCTTTTCTTTGTCTGGCGTTGAGAGCTGTGATTTTACCATTCTAAAATTAAAAAAATTAGCATAAAAGTATGCAATCAAAAAAAAAGTAAAACGGAAAAAAAGCAGGTTCAAGTTAAATGTGACATTTTTTTTGTGCACCCGTTTTTGGTGTTCTTCCGGTATTTATTGAAAAATAAAAATTTAAACAAATTGCTGGAACTTGAACACTTTTTCACAAGAAAGTAGAAGCTTTTTGCTATCTAAAACCTTTTGACAGCATAGAATTTGGAACACGTTTAGTAGGTCAAATTTAGGCGTAAAGTTTTGTAAAAACGATGTGACATTTTTTTTGTGCATGGGTGTATTAATTTATTTGGTTTGCGTTGTTATTTTTATTTCTGTTAACTTTTTCTTGATAAAATAAAGGTGCGTCTATAATTTTTTGACAGCTAATAAAACGTTTTTTGTACGATAAAATACTTTGGATGAGTGAAATGACTTGAAATTTTGCATGGGTTGTTTTTTTACATTAAAGAAACTAAAAAAATACTTTGGACTGGACTAGCACTTATATCCGGCTCTAAACTAGCAAAAAACAGGGTGCGTCTATAATTTTTTGACAGAGTGTATTAGCTTTTTAGAGCTTTTTAAAACGCGAAAAAAGGTGCGCTAATGGGCTAAGTGCGGAAAAAAAGGTCGCATTTGTCCCACTCCCTGAAACATTGAAAATGACTTCTTTAGGGTGAAATGAATGAAATGACAGTGAAAAAAAAGAGTCGTTTTCAGCAAAAAACACCAAACGATTGTGTCTCGGTGGTGAAATGGAAACCGAAAGGCGAAGAGGGTTATGAATTTGAGGTGGAATTGGGAAAGAATTTCAGAATTTTAAAAACATTCTCCAGATTTCATCTTATATCAACACTCTTGATCCATCAAAATCATATTGGATTGCCGTTGGCATATCGCACAATCAGAGAATGGTTTGAATGAAGAAATATTGTGTTTAAAATTCACTCAAACTCATCATGATGGTCTAAGGCGCGCGACGTGAATCCCGCGCAAAAGGATGGGGTTGTTGGTTCGGCTCTCCCGCGCACTTGAGCCATTATTTTTGCATATTCCTTAATTGTTTTGAGTGAATACGATACCTAGCTACATTGTTCTTTTGAACAAAACAATTGTGCAATAGAGAATTTTTTAAATTTTCTCATTTCTTTTTTAAAAAAATGTTATAACTTTTTGTAGAGTTGAGCAAATTTGATGATTTTTGCATCAAAATGTTCGTAAGAGTCTCTAGAATAAAAATTATCCCTTCGTTTTTGGTTCTAGACCCTCGTTGTCGAGTTACTAGTTCCAAACTGCAGGGTACCACAAAATTTCCCATACAAAATGACCAAAAAACTGCTAAAACTAAATTTAAAAAATTTCTGTCAGAGGGATTTGGAAAATTCCTTCAAATTCGGAATCAGCACAATTTTCCGCATCTAAAAAAGGTACTCCCAGAAAAATCCTATAGAAAACGCATTTTCGCGCCGATGTGCATCACCATTCTGAGTCTGAGTAAAGAAATCATTCTGAGTAATTCTGAGTAATCATTCTGAGTAAAGAAATCATTCTGAGTAATTCTGAGTAATCATTCTGAGTAAAGAAATCATTCTGAGTAATCATTCTGAGTAAAGAAATCGATAGATCTTTCTTTTATAAACTCTTTTAGATAAAAGATCAATAAAAGATTAATTTTTGTTTTCTTAAACACTTTTTTTTAGGATGATGACACCGTGTTTGAGTGTATCTCGTCACCCGATGGGCATCACCGAGCACAAATCTCATTCAACGATGAGACACACAATCAAGTACTCCACCAGGTGCTCCCATCAGAAAAACATTCTCGTCAATTTCACTTTCCCCCGCTCCGCCCCTTTTCCAATCAAATTTCCTAGGCCACATCGCAGCTTCTCCATTCGAACGAAATCTCGCTAATTGATGGTTTCTTCAAATGTAATGTGACCTATTTGCCCGATAATCGACTCAAAGTTCTTCAAGAAGATCAATTTAAAGTTGAAATTTTGATATCTTATTTGATTTTTGTTTCTTTTCAGATTCATCAAATCGAATCGAAACCTTTTTATCTTCTTTTTGCAAAGGGAAGCGCTGATCGATACAGTTTGGGAAAAAAACATTGAGAATTTTATATGAAACGAATTTTCAGCTTTTGAGAAAGATATTCATTTTATGAATGATGGTCCAGATTTCCCGTGGATTACCGGGGAAATGGTGAGCGTTTTTTGAGATAAACTTAATCTCTTTTAGAAATATTAGAAATTAGAAATTAGAAATAAAGAAAATCTCTTTTAGGTGGGATTTTGTCGAAATTGTACCGATAAATCGTTTGCAATTATTGGAGAAAATTCGATTCAAACAAAAGTTCAACGATACTGGAGATACAGGATTGCTGTATTTCATGGTGGGGAAAAAGGGGAAATTCGTGAGAAAAAATGAATATCTTTTGGTTTCTAGAAGAGATTTTAGCATTACCAGAGATAACCGACATTAGTGTATTCGGTTTTTAAAGCTAAATAAATTTCTGATTATCAAAGCTTCAATAACGAATTTTAAGCCAAAGCTATGAGCTATGAGCCAAAGCTATGAGCTATGAGCCAAAGTCAAAGCTATGAGCTATGAGCTAAAGCCAAAGCTATGAGCTAAAGCCAAAGCCAAAGCTATGAGCTATGAGCTATGAGCTATGAGCCAAAGCTATGAGCTATGAGCCAAAGCCAAAGCTACTTTAAGCCAGTTGGGCAATTGAATCGAAATGCTATCAGCAATTTCTGTTTACGAGTGAGCACAGAGAGCACGCATACAGAATTATTTGAAAAGCTAGAAGCATAGCTAGAAGTCTGAAATGATCTTGAGAAATGTAGAGTGAAATAGTTGGAGGTTTTCCGTTTACAGGTTCAATTTTATAGGTTCAATTTTACAGCTTCAATTTTATAGGTTCAATTTTACAGGTTCAATCTTGATCTTCTGTTGGTGGGTGCTAGTGTCAAATGCGATTCTCATTGCTCGTTTTTTCAAACCATTATGGCCAAAGAGGAAATTGTGTGGGGTGGCTGTTTGGTTTCAGGTGATAAAAGATAAAAGAGAATTGAAAGAAATTGAAAGAAATCTCTTTTTTTTTCCAGCTACATCGCCTTCTCAATCTGGTGGCATTTCCCCTAGAAATTCTCTCGGTTTTGCTGATCTTCTTCCAATCCGGTTGGGTATGGTATGAATGCAGTTATGAGTGTGATTTAATGGTAAAAAGAAAAATAAAGCAAAAATATTATAATAATGAGAAATCTTTGAGGCATTATCGAAGAAAATGCACGCAATAACGGGAGTGACAGCCACAGTGATGGCTTTGTTGAATCCATTGGTGGCATTGATTAGACCAGCACCTGATTCAGAGTTTGTTTTTTTGTTAGAATTCTATTTTATTGAAAATTTATAGAACTTAACGTTGTCTATTTTATCAAATTTTTATAGAATTTCATTTTTTTTCGATTTTTATCATTTTCTTGAAGAAATCTTTTAGTTCTCGTCCAATTTTCAATTGGATTCATTGGTTTTTCGGGATGTTCGCATGGATTTTTGCAAGTAAAAAACATCTAAAAAGATCTATTTAAAAGGAAATTGTAAGCTGCACATTTAAACTGTGCATTTTTAAAATGAGAATTTAACAAAACCCAATCAACTTTCAGGTGTAACCATTCTTCTTTCGGTTCCACTCGGGAAAACAGGCCTCTATTCGAACTATGGACCGACTCCATTCTATATTATGGTAAACAAATCGAAAAAACATTACTGAAATTTAATCAAATTATAGGCTGGATACATTTTGTTCTTTATTGCAATCAATATTTTACTTGAAATGATCACCTCGACAAGTGATCGACGAGTGATTAGAGATGGTGAGAAGGAGAAGACATTAGATTGATAGAACATCTATCTAATAAGATTATATACTTCTAATAAGATCTATCTAATAAGATTTATCTAATAAGATCTATCTAATAAAGATTGTGCAGTGCGTGAGAGGGTACCGATGGGGCAATGATTATTTGGCATAGATTATTTGGACATTTATTCCGAATATAGCACAATCACTAATCTAGCGAGAAAATACAACAAAATAGAATCAATCGTTGGTTCAGTGTTTCAAAGCCAAAGCAAAGCCAAAGCAAAGCCAAAGAAAAGCCAAAGAAAAGCCATACAAAGTGGGCTCCGTCCCCTTTTATCACACAAACGATCTTTAGAGGAAGGACAAGAGAAGCAGAGACATTCAAAATCAAAGCATCAAATAAGATTTCACAGAAAAGAGCTACTTTTCTGCACAAAGATAACTATTATAAGATTTTCTATCTTTTCTATAGCTTTTAAGGCAAGATGAGAAGCCAGGTTCAAGTTTGGGTCAAGATCTTCCTTCTGACCTGACCCTTGTTTCCCTTTGAATTATTTTCCATCTCCTTTACAGATTCAGATGGTGTTCATCGTTTTATTGTCTCTCAATCCGGAATGTCGTTATCTGTTTTAAACGGACCGACAACCGAACACCCGTCAACGAGAGTCACCGTTTGTTTTTAAAAGAAACAATAAATGCCATGAAAAACATTGCAAGACTATTGTTTAATTAGTTCTCTAGAAAATAAACATGTAGTTTGGCTAGATGAGAGTGAATTGAAGTGAAAAGGTTTCAAAAAAAAACAATCTTCATTTGTTGAGAGAATTAAAACGAAATGAAATCTTCTCAACTTAAATCTGAATGAATCGTTTCCTTTTCAGCGTTCCCCATTTCGTCTTTTCCTTTTCTTCATCCATCTCGTCATTTCCATTTCTGTCACCATCACGATCACCGTATTTTTACTGAAAATTCTCTGGTCTCACTCTCCATAGAAGAAAATTTTTTATATTAAATAGATTTCTATGAATTATTATATTAAATAGAATTATTATTATATTAAATAGATTTCTATGATTTCTATGAATTATTCAATTGTGATCTCTTGTAATTTTATTATTGAATTTCAAAGGTGAAGTTTCGAAAAAGTGAATCAAAATGATAACACTACAAAAAGAAGGACTTTCCTAGAATACAGATTTATTATGGAAAGCTCAGTTTGATCTCTTGTAAATTAAGCAGCTACCAGAAAGCTTTTCAAGTGCTTTTCAATTGCTGCTTTAGTGCAGGCCTGGGTGCATTGACTAGAGCTCAAAATTAAAGCCGAAAATTTTGGGCATAGTAACGCTTAGAAACGGAGAAAACTGGCTGAAACGCTCACTGCTTCTTCCCCTTTATACATCCACTCAACTAGGAATAGATAGGGTGCGATAGGATTATTGCAACCGTCTCAAATCAATTTTACTTCCAACAACTATCTCTACTTAAGAAACATCTTCTTCCCTAAGCCAAAAATCACAACAGGATTTGATGTGCTTATGCAGAATGATTATGCTGATAAGGCTCGAGTGGTTCAGCACTGGCGCAAGCAGCATTTAGTGACCACCCTCAATTTCCGAGCTGAATCCAATGGATTTCAGTCTTTGGAATGTTCTTGAAGCAAAAAAGTGCTCTGATTCTTTAGAGTCTTTGTAAAATTGAATGAGAAACGATGACGATTTTTGTTTATTCTTTCGTTTAATCTAAACTGGCCTCTACATAGTTTAAAAGTGCAATAAATTCTAAAATATTGGTTAGAAACTCTGACTTTGTTTATGTAATCGATATTAGAAGCAATATCAAAAGTGATGACTGAATTGGAAATCAAGATGCACGTTTTTGCACGTTTTTGCTTCAAGAACATTCTAAAGACTGAAATCCATTGGATTAAAATCGGGAATTGAGGGTGGCCACTAAATGCTGCTTGCGCCAGTGCTGAACCACTCGAGCCTTATCAGCATAATCATTCTGCATAAGCCCATCAAATTCTGTTTCCAAAGTGATTTTTCCAAGATGAGCAGCACCTCGGAAACTTGATTGAAGCAATTGAGACTTGCTGATTTTTTTGTAAAATTTATAAACTTTGGCAATAGTCTAAAAGGAATTTATGCTATTTTTTTGAAGTTTTATACTTCTTTATCGACTTTAGGAGAATTTTCGGGTAAAATTGTGAAAAGGAAACGTGATGGGTGGTCTAAAAGGCTATGGGTGGTCTAAAAGGCTATGGGTGGCCCTGTGCCTTGGGAATCCTTGTTCTCTTTTCCCATTCCCTTTTCACAAAATAACCTAGACTAGACACACAGTTTTTATTATTATAATTTGTTAATTATTAGATTTCTTTTGTTTTTTTATTTAAAAAAAATAGTAACAACAACTAACAGCATAATACTGAAAAGAAAAACGATGATTTGCTTTGATTTGCTTTATACGATGAATACCGTATTTTCTCTCTGATATCACACCCCGGCGAGCCGAGTTGGTGACTATTTGACGGTTTCCAAGCTTTCGCAGAAGCTCAACCCTCTAATCCCCCACTAGATCTCATCGTCAGCTACATTTTCCGATCCCACTTCAATAGGTTCTGATAAGCGCTTTTCGAGATTTCGAGGAATTTAGGCAACGCTCTGCGTGCACTACTACCGTATTCTCTCTAATAGTAGTGCACCGCGGCGAGCCGAGTTGATGACTATTTGACGGTTTCCAAGCTTTTGCAGAAGCTCAACCCTCTAATCCTCCACTAGATCTCATCGTCAGCTACATTTTCCGACCTCACATCGATAGGTTCTGATAAGCGCTTCTCGAGATTTCGAGCAATTTATACAAGGCTCAGGATGCACTACTATTAGAGAAAATACGGTAAATCAGAATAATGTTTTCAGTGTTCGACAAAACATCGCTTCCTTTCTCATTTTTATCAATTTTCAAATTCAAAACAAAACAAAAATGTCGAATTTGCGATTATCTGAAAGCATTGTCTTTTGTCATTTGATACTTAGATATTTCTCGATCTTGTGAGACTCAAACCTTCAAATGTAGGCTAGACGTACTTGTTATTCTAATGCATATTTACATATTATAAAAGAATTTACATTTGTTTATTTGAAAGAAAAGCTACCAGTTTGGCTGGTAATAGTAAAAATGCTAAATTTGCTAAATTGCTAAATTTTGTTCGAATTGCACTAAAAGAAAGTTGATCTTTTGTGCGAAGTGGCATCAGCTACAGCTAGTATATAGCTGAAATCTGGCCTTTATATGGCTTTTAACTTATCCGAAAGACTTGCAATCGATCGATAGTCTTTCGCTTGTGCATCATCGAATTCTGAAATCGAAAAATGATTGGCTAAGTAGAAACTTTCAAGAGTAATAAGTGGAGAGAAAAAGAAGAATCTCTTTAAAATCTTCTATCATATTTAGTCATTCAGAGGAATTGATTGACTTTTTTAATGATTTTCAATGGTTTTTAATGATTTTTAATGGTTTTCAATGATTTTTAATGGTTTTCAATGATTTTTAATGGGTTTCAATGGTTTTAATGTTTTTTAATGGCTTTTAACATCTTTTAGTCTTTATTTTGAAACGATTTATCTGAAAAAAGTTTCCGACTTCCGTTTACTATACGATTTTTTTCGGAATCGTTTCGTTTTTGATAAGAAATGATAAGAAGTGCCGGGAGGGTTTATGCAAATAAATCGATCTTATGCAAAAAAAAAAGTCTGTTTTCAATCATAAGCTTCTTTAAAAGACTACTTGAATTATTTTTCTTTCTTTTCTCAATAAACAATTCGAGACGATGAGCACGGGGAATTCTCCATTTGGTGAGTAAAATCGGTTCTCGAAAATGTTCTAGACGGTTTCCATATCGTTTTTTTTGCACACTGACGATCGATTTTTTTGGCTACAAACAGCTCCAAGTCTTAAATTAATAAAAAAAATCAAATTCTAGATGCGATTCTCGAGAAAGTCACTGATCCGATCATCTTGGAATGGCTGATTTGGTGTCTGCTCATTGCTTGCATTTTTCTCGTTGGAATCACTCTCGTATACTTTTGGGAACATCAGCTGAAAGGAAATCTAATTACGAATTGTTTGCCGACAATCGATCGACAAAAAGTCTCATATCGAAGCGATAATTCGCGTTATCAATTGATCGAATCGAGCACGAAAATATAAAAGATCGATTTGAATTTGTTGACGAGAAATTGCGGGAAAGGAGAAATCGATGTGAGGGGAGTGGGACAAATGCGACCTTTTTTTTGCGCACCTGGACATTTGCGCACCTTTTTTTTTGCTAGAAAAGGCCTTAGGAAAGGTCGTAGAGCTTCAAAAAAGTTTTCATAGAAGGGAATCGTATGCGTAGATTCCGAATTTCGACAAATCAGATTTCGCTGACACGTCAAATTTGGACTAAAAGGCAAAAACTACGCAACTTAACGCTTTTCCGCAGTTTTTGCCCTTTAGCCCAAATTTGACGTGTCAGCGAGGTCTGATTTGTCGAAATTCGGAATCTACGCATACGATTCCCTTATATGGAAGTATTTTCGAAATATTTTCGAAGCTCTACGGCCTTGCCTAAGGCCTTTTCCAGCAAAAAAAGGTGCGCAAATGTCCAGGTGCGCAAAAAAAAGGTCGCATTTGTCCCACCCCCGATGTGAGAGAAGATTTAAACATTTCAAATTTCAAATTCCTTTTCTAAAATGTTTTAACTTTTTGAAAACGTTCATAATCTTATCTACCGTAAATACTGTAATAGTACCCCCACTCCCATAATGACGGTGCGGAGCGTTGTGTAGTCTAGTTTTGAACGAGTTTTTCTCGACACTGGTTTATGCTACAATGCGCGCTTAGGTATCAAAAAATAGCCCTGAATTTCAGCTATTTTTTGATACCAAAGACGCATTTTTTGAAAGTACGGGTGCTTTGCAAAAAAATGAAATACTAAAAAACTTTTGCGACTACGCGACTGTACGAGGGGAGGATGCGGTACTATTACAGTATTTACGGTACCCCTTCTTCGCGGTATTCTTTTTCTTTCAAAGTAGACTTTGTGCTTAAACTTGTAAATAAATCTGATTTGGCACAATAAATTCGGCACTTTTCTCACGTGAACACTTAATGTTACAAGAAAAATTGAAGAATTGAAAAGAGATTCCCACAAACTTTTCTATTTTGCACTAACTCTCGAGACTTTTTGTATGTGTCAACTGGAGCAACGCGTAGCCTGACGCGCATGGTTGCTCATTTTCAATTGTTTCTGTTGTACTTCTTCCTCTGTTGTTCTTGATTTCGATTTTGTTAGATAAATTGCTAACAATCACATCTGAAATAGCAATCGGTTCTTTTCCAATATCGGGGGGAGCGGTCCGATTATCGGGGGAGCGGAAGGAAAATCGGGGGAGCGAAAGGAAAATCGGGGGAGCAAATTTTGCCCCCTCGAAAAATGCATTTCTGGGACTTTTATTTTAACTGCAACGTTTTTTTTAAAACTTTAACGACGATGCGCTTCTCCGATATTTGTGCGTTCAAGGAATCGACGGCAATCGATTATTTCGTCACCAAAGGAGTCATCCAGTCGTGGATTTGCAACTGTGGCGAATCGATGAAAGTCCGCTCAAAGGGAAAAGATCTATTTCGCTGGGTATGTGAC